ACTTGGACGCAGCCAAAACGGGCGGTAATCTCATCTTTGTGGTCGAGGAGGGTTTGGCGGACAGCGTCATTCTTGGATCCGGGGTAGGCGAGGGAGGTGAGGCAGAACTTTTCTGCAGGGTGGCCGTGATGGTTTGTGCGAGGTATTCGGCTTCGCGGGCGTGGGCTGGGGAGACGGCGGAGAAACGGGGGAGTTCGGTGTCGAGGTAGGCGGCGAAAGAGCGGTAGACCTCCGCTTTAGCAAGAGCTTCAGATACGAGGGTCTCAGCGAAGGTTGTAATGGAACCAGAAGCATTAGGGGTGGCGGTGGTGGCGTGGGCAAACGGGCTTCCTCGCCCGCAGTCCGGGCTCTTTTGGCCGACTGCGCCATCGTGGAGGGCGGGGGCGGGACACAAAGGATGTCCGGCAAAGGAGTAACCGGTATTATAGCCGGCGGCGGTGGTTTGGGGGCCCCAGAGGGCGAAGGTGTAGACATTTTGGTGTTGTGGATGTTGGGATATCGACCGTGAAAACGGCGATTTAGGTGGTGTTAGGGATTTTGCGGGCAACCAAGAGTTAACACTAACGCTTGGCGCTAAGACTTTTGTTGTAGGAGGAAGATGTGTGTGTGTGTGTGTGTGTGTGTGTGTTTGTGTGCGAGGGAGAGGAAGGGCGGTTTTCGGTATATTTAATAATGGCGTAAGGAAACGGAAAAGTATATCTGGAGCGGAATAATAGGACTCGTGACTCCCGACTGGAGTCACAAGTGTACCAGTCAGATCGTCGGTCGAGAAGATGAAAAATTATGCAGGAGATGGAATGATAACAATGGAAGATAATAATGAAAGTTCCGGCTGTGTTGTTATGGGAAGAAACCTGGAGTCCTGGAGGAGTAGAGATAGAGTGAGTGCCCCTGGACAAGTTGAATTAAAGTTAAGATAGGTAGTAATGGAAGTGGTTCGTCTTCTCACTTCTGTGCCGCGCGCCCGCATTGCAGTAATATGGAGTCCGTCGTCGGCACGTCGTCCACCCGGCTATGAGCCAAGACCAGAAACGCAAGCAAGATAACACAACGGTTGTGATCGGGACGCGGGGACGAATTCGTAGTTCGCACCCGCATAGGTACTGGTAGAGGTAGGCAGGCGCAGAACCCTGAACCACAACGCAAGCCGGGCATGCAAGCATGAATCTCGCCGTGGAGCATCTTGAAACAATTTTCGCGCCATTTCAACAACGTTTACACAGGTGGTGTACAAGTGATCGTTCAAGCACTTAACGAAAAAATTGTTTTTTTTCTTTTCCAGTGCACTGATTTTGAAAAGGAGCAGTGAGTGAGTATATAAGCCAGACAACAACGGGCTTCTATCGACATCCAGCTACGACAGCTGATTTAACAGTTGTACATCTTCCGTAGTATAGTGGTCAGTATGTGAGCTTGTCAAGCTTGAACATCATTCAGTTCGATTCGCTCGAGACCCGGGTTCAATTCCCGGCGGGAGAGACAATCAATCATTTTAGAATTTTTTTGTTATATCTTGATTGATCCCGCGGGATACTCGGACTTCACGCATCACTTCAAAGTTTTCTTCCTCTCTGGTTGATATTTTGACTTGAATTTTGTTTCTTCGATTGACGATCCTAGCAAAGTTATTCTTACGGTCAATGAAAATATTTATTTGCCGAAAGCCCGAAACTCGAACCATCATTGAACTATCTTTATTGATCGTGACACTATTTGTCCGAAAGGCGGGACATGCGTAGGACGGCAAGTAAATGGTTAGATGTCCACAGACAGTACCATCCCGGTCGGAAGGACCATCAGTTCGTTTTCACTTATTATTTTGCCGCACCGTACCATTGAATAGAGGTTCTGTGACAAGGGCAGTGTTCTGGGCTTGGAACAGTAGTTCAATTCAGCTAATAAACTACTTTGGTCTCGAAGGCCTTGTTGATCCTTTCAACCTCCATGAGAAGGTCGGGCCTCAAGCCCTTCTTATACCAAAGAAGGTTGGTACGTACCGAGCCCTGTGTGCCAGGCATCGGTGCAAGTCTATCTAGTTCATCTGCCTACAAGTAGATCTTCTGAATGCCAGCCTTCGTCCAGTTGCCCGTCGGTAATTCCGGTCGGTGGTTTAATTGATGAAAGTCGCCGGCGAATGTCCGTGTGGCATTCTGTCGGTAATTCCGGTCGGCAGTTTGACTGATGAAAGTCACCGGCGAATGTCCATGTGACACTGGCCGAGGCAAGGCTGGCATTGTATGGCGAGGTTGGGTTGATGTCAAGCATTGAGGCTCTATTGAACTTCAAACCCAGGAGTGTGGGCAATGTCCGTGTGACAGGTTCTTTCCCTTGTCCGATCTCTCTTTTTATTTCTTTTTCTCCCGGTCATTAATCGAATCATTTGCTTTCCACTTCGCGGAAATCACGTTCTTGTCACAAACTCAAGGATTTTTGGCAAACACGAATTCGGATAAAGATCCCATCCTAGATACGGCAGGGAACAATGCAGGGCAAGTGCCAACACGCGGCTTCCCGTCCCCAGAGTCGCGCTGGCACTTCAATTTCCACTTTGCCCACGCTCCTTGTCAACAACGTCGTCACTTCCCGTCGAACTGCAATAATTTTCGATGATCGCATCACCAGCTGGAAGTCACAACCGCCAGATTGATATTGTGACGGTGTTCGAAACACTTCTTTACCCACAACCACTCTCTCACAGATTCGCCTCATTTTCCCTCCCCAAGATGACCTCGCAAATGGTGTAGACAGTGAGACGCGAATAGTTCACTCATTCCTTAAGGAGGAGCCATGTAGTACCACAACTCCTTACTCCCAAAACCTCCTCCACTCCTCCTGCGCCATCCGAGTCTGGTCCTCCGCTTGATCAGCTTGCACCTTCAATGTAGCCGCCTGATTGTTAAGCCACGTTGTTTGACCCAAGTCGGCCTAGTATTCCATATCGTTAGCACGAAGGCATCGAGAAAATGCCTGAAAAAAGAGCTTACCTGTCAACTAGGAACCTCAATGGTATTCGCATCAATTCTCCTACCGGCACCTATTCCAGCCAGCATAATGTTGGTACTAGCGGCATTCATGGACACTCGCGTGGCATTCATGGACACTCGCGTGGCATTCGCATGACATTAGCAGCCATGTGTTCCTTAGTTTGAGCTTCTATGCATAGGGAGACGGCTTGCTGTTGGAGCTGGGCCGTCTTCATCTGAAGCTCTCGCTCTTTGGCCTTTCTTTCGGTTACCTGGTCGAGCACTAAATCAGTTGATGCCATCGTTATAACACCCAGGATGTGGTGTAGAACAACTCACCTTGGCCCCCAAGTGCTCTAAGCCCATCGGCTCTCCCATACTCACTGCCTCCTTCCAAACCCTCCTCATTTGATCAGAGTACAACTGACAAGTGAACCCGGGACCGCCCATGACGGCAGGGGTTTGATCCACTCTCCTTGCCAGCTCGACACCCTGACGGACATCAGGCTCAATCACCTCCTTGTAACACTGCTCGCAAACCGTGAAGTTGAACAAGCCCAGCATGGTATGGCACCGAAGTGATGTAAAGGGATAATCCCTCGGGCAGAGACCACTAGGCAGAGGAGGAGCACCGAATACACCTGGCACTCCTGCTGAAGTACCGGCACCTGGTCCCCTTGGAGGCGGCAAATTAGCCCTCAACCCGTTCAGCAGTGCACTCATATCAGGCCTTCTCATGAACCCCGAGGTCACTGCGCATCCGGCAATTTGCTGCAGTATCGCCATTGTTCCCGGATCATCGTAGTGTTCGAGGGCGCCAGTGCGCATGCCACTCCTTGACCAGGTGGGAGTTGAATGGGCGTGAACCTCCAGCGACAGCAGGGCAGCAAGTCATCATGTTGACGGCACAGCTGCCGCAAATGTGCCACCTGGGAAGCAAATGCGCCCTGGTCTGAGGATCGAACAGAGTGTACCACGTCCTTCTCTGTGGATGTTCTGCGGTATCAACCACAACAAGCTGCTCTGCTTCGGATCTGAGCTGAGCATTGGGGCATGGGGGCTGCCCTCCTTGTCCATTCGGTCCTGGTGGGCCAGCAAGAGCAGCGACTCTTGCCAGGAAATCGACCCCCAACTGACCGGCATTGTTCATCGTCAAAAGCACCATGCCGGCCACCTTAACCCAGAACCGTGACATGTCGCATCTTATCGGTATGGTGTGATTCGGCGGTGGTCCCTTGGTAACGAAAGATCGAGCATAAGGAGTGGGACGGACGACGGAGTTGTAGCAAGATGGACAAACGTTGAAGTTAGCGTAGCGAGGATCAGGGAGACCGATCCAATCCTGGAACCCTGCTTGGGGTTGCTGGCGTGGAAAAGGGACATTCGCTTGGGGGATGGAAGATGGCGATGGGGTGGTGAACGGAGAGGGCGCAAAAGGGCAGCTTCCTCCTCCCCCACCGCCACCGTAACCTCCAAACCCACCGTATCCCCCCGAAGCCATAGCCGTTCCCACTGCTTCCACCAGCAGCACCTTGGAGGCCAGATTGGATTTCTTGAGTGAGCGAGTTTAGGAGTTTTCGGAAAGGCATTTTGCCGCTTGTGATTTCAGGAGTTAGAGTCTGAACGGGTCGAGTGGTGAATTCTGATGAGAAAACATCGGCAACCACTCACCACTTAAACCTTTCACGCCCCCTTTCTCAACTTTCACCTCCTGTCATCCCGAGGTTTGACATCTCCGACTCACGGGGAAAATGTCTAAGCGAGGTGCCAGAGCCTTGTCACCTCGGATGGGTTGGTAATTAAGCTTTTGGTTAAGCTTTCGGGCCAGAACCTTATCGATCCTCCTGTATTGAGCATGGCTTGGGTCGAAATGGAGTACTGACGATGCATTTTTGGTGCTAGTGGCGCAATTACATGATGTTCAGCTACTCGTTCTCCAGGACTCTGGATGGTTCAGCTGATGGCGGTGGTGTGAGATGCGTTTCCTTGTTGGGCATGCTGAGCGATTGTGGCTGGGCTAAGATAGAACCGACAGAAGGGCTTTACGATAAGACAAGGGGTGGCCTAGAAGGAAGTTCGTTGAGCCAGAGAATGAAGTATTTAATACTGGGTACTGCAATCTTACTGTTGCCTGCCTGTCCATGACTGCCGCTGTGGCCGATGTTGATGGTGATACATCGAGTTGGTGTTCTGGTACGAGTTTGGACACCTTGCACACAGCAAGGAAACTGTAAAAATTGGTTTCAATCTTGCTTCAATTTCCTGCCAAATGCGCCGTCCTGATTTAAATAAGGCGTCATCCAATATCGTCTCTATCAGTAGTGCCTTCCATTTCGGATGTTGTGGTATCACCAACACTTTTCCTTAACCCTAGTCTGATGGAAACCCACACAACCATTCGACTAACAAGGATTTTCCGGGCCATGCAACAATATTTTCCGAAGATGTTTGAAACGAGAATGGCATGAAAGCGAAACAGAATATCGTGGGGAATCCCCACAGAACTCTACAGATTCGCGGCGAGAAATATCTCGAAGTCATTTCGCATGAGTGACTTCCCGTTTCCTGGTCACACTTCAGTCCGGTCCAGGGTTAGGGTGTGGGCCTCATGACGTCATCGGGGTCTGGCTTCCGGGAGAGCGGCACTCCACATTCGGAAGCCATCAGATCACAGCAACACTCGACGGCAGCGACGGCAACATCCATGATGGTCCAAAGAACCAAGGAAGTGCCATGTATCAGGATTATGATGAAGATTTAATCACGTATCCAGAGATGTGAAGTTCCTGGTTCACTAGAGCCTCCGTCTTGAAAAGGGTGATAATGTCGTCAAGGACGTTTGTGGTACAGTATTTCCAACTTTCAGGGTTCAGTGCGGAGAGGGCAAAGCTGGAAGAAAAAGAGAAGAAGGGTAGAGTAACCAAACCTACCTTGGTTTCTCAAACATTTAGGTTGCAAATCCTTGATAGCACCGGGGACGAGGACAAGACACCGAACCCATCGCCTATCAAAGGTTTAACAAAACCGCTGGGACTTGGGAGGCCTCGTTCGCACGGATGAGGTGATTTGGATACTGTAGTGCACTGACTTGTTATGAGACGAATTTGTTTTCATCATCACGGTAGCGAAGAGGCAAAGTCGACAGGCAACTGAAGAAAAGAAAGACTTTGCATGTAGTTAAAGAAGTGAAGAATGGGGAAAGGAACGGAAGGCGATCTCGTGGAACAGATGGAAGAAACTGAGGAACTGGGGAAGAGCAAAAGAAGGGGATGGGCTGTGGTGGGTCATCCCCGCAATCTGGAGCTCTGACCCCTGAAACCGGGGTCAAGTGAACAGGAGACAGGGTCTGGGAGGGCATGTGAGTGTCTTTTTTTCCCATCACAGTCTTATCATAGTTGCAATTGCGATATTTCTCTGCCTTTTTGAGTTATTAAGCCGAGATGGTAAGAGGCGACTTATCATCTTCTACTAACCGAAGAGCAGCGTTGACCAAACGGCTGCTGACGGCGATCATTGCAGTGTGCCAGTGGCATGATGGCCGTGCAGCATCCCAAAACGGCGTTCAAAGATGGGACTTCCAGAAGCCAACTCTTCAGAATTTCACATCAGGAACAATGAACAACGGATGATGGCCATCGATGGGCGATGAGCACTGAGTACCTACTAATGACAAAGGACTGAGACGGGATCAAAAATACCCGGCGGGACCTTTGGACGAATCTCGGGGCCGCTGCTCTCCAATTTCGCAATCGAATCGTCACGGGTGATTGACCTTCCGTCCGGCTTGTAGGTTCTAACTTATCACTGGCAAGTGATAGGATCACAGGTTTAGGTTGTTGGAGGACAGGAGGGCAAAATGGATGGGCACGAACAAGGCGCAGACGGTTCTCACGTTACACGCAATCGAATGCAAAAGTCATCTATCCCTCGTTATGTCCACCGTTACCTCTGGGGAGTTTGTCAGCTTACACGCTACACTTGCCGCGCGAAGGGTCCCAAAATGTCAAAAGATTTGCAGATATCTCAGCCCTGTCAGAACTCGGTGTCCCGTGGCGGAATGTGTTGGCCTCCCCTTAGTTGACTTACACTGAGCAGGACTGGGCTATATCAAACCGTGTTAATACTCGGCTGGTTCTGAGTGAGTGTCGTGGCATGCGGTCCGGGAGTTACGATGCCCAAAGTGCAGAGCCTTATGGCCAACTCACTTGTAGAATCAACGCCGACAGCGGAGGTCGGTTGGGTCGAAACAAGGAAAACATCTTGTCTTCATTTGGAGGCACTGGCTTTGTGTGTAATACACTCACTGATAGTGGTGCTCATGGTGTTGTCACCAAGTAGCCCCGCCAAGCCCTACCGGTTACTCGCTTGAGCGGCTCCCGAGAACTTGAAACGACACGAAGCAAAAGGGGAAGGTCAAGATGACGATAATTCAGATGCTTGACGGGGTGTTTCTGTGGAGGTTCCTGTTATTTGCAGGGTTATCACTAGAGCCGGATATTGGTTTGCAATCTGGAAGGTCGAAAAAGCAAACGAGTGGATGAGATCTGATAGCCATCAGGTATCATGTGGTCAAGATCCCAAGGAACCAGATACGTATGTCCTCTTCGTGGATCCAACTTTCGGTCCTCGTTCTTGTGCAAATCGCAGAGTACTATAACTGTCACAGCTGTAGTCAGCGAAACCGACCCTTCGTGTCACCTCAGAAGAACATATTTCGCCTTTTCCACAAGTTGCGGTCAGCATTCTCGACACATCGTCGACATATCACTTCCCCTTTATACATGAGTTTTGTCTGCGAGGCAAAGGCAGCAAAAAGGGGACCGCAGGCCAAGAAACGCTGATCAGTCGCAATCGTCATCAACGCCGACCAACCATTGCAACCGGACATTCCTCCCCGACCCGACACACAAAAGTCTGCCGTCCGGCTACGAGACCCTGAAAAGTTGAACCCTGATTTTCATTCAGTGTTGCGATTTAACGGAACCCGGAATTCAAAAAGCAAAACAGTAGGGTTGCCCTCTGCACAAGTTTAAAACCGGGCAGCTCGGGTCTTTGCCCGAAAGTTGGAGAGAGAACGAGATTGCAAGGCGAAGAAGGTGCGATTGCGAATCCGGGGCGCAAAAGTGGACATCCCCCACTGCGACAAGGGAGCCGCGACTTCCACTTTTGGGCGTTGTGGCGCTGGAAGCCCATTAAAACCGGGCCCAGGGGTGCCGAACAGTCGCCGAACACATCGCTGACGGGGCCCTGGCGGGGTCAATCTGGTACCGAATTTGGGAGCGACACCGCTGTGTGCAAGGAAGGGGCCAAGAGCAGCGCTTTCCCCCAAAACGTCATCGAAGTTGTACCCTTTTTTCCTCTCTTCGCTGGGTTTCTTGCCTGCTCTTTCCTGTTCCTTCTTTTTTCGCCTGGGGAAGACAAGATTGGAAACGGAACCGAACGGAGATATAAAGTACGGAGGTACTCCATTTGCCCGGAATCTTCTCCCACCACATTTTCACTCGGCTACTATTAGTATCGATACTTGGTTACGGCACCTGCCTCGGTCTGTCTCCACAAATCGCTTTTGGATTTCTATAAAATACTTCGACCTTCTTCGCCCACGCGACAATAAATCGATCCTCGATCTGATCTGCCCCACAACTCCTGTCCGATCATACCGGAAACGAAAAACAAGAATCAACGATACCCGACCGGGCTCTCCTTGTCATCTGCTCTCGACGTAGTAGCAGGTACCCCGCGCGACTCACCAGGCACTCGTCTTGACCGCGACCTGACCGAACGGTTACGATATTCGCACCACATCCGGTCACTGCCCCGCGTTTTGCACAGCTGCGAATCGCTACGTACCTCAGCGCAACCGACGGGTCAGAGATATCACTCAGCACTCAGCTCCTCAGCACTCAGCTCCTCAGCCACCTGTCCCATATCCCGCAGGCCGCCAACAGCTATATCTTGCCTGTCATCCTGCCCATCTCGACCGATCGCGTGTTTGTTCTTAGTTTGCCTCATCTTTCTTTCGCATTCCCATCTTGGAAGGGGACTTGTCGATTTGCAACTTGAGACATTGGACCAGAATACGGAGTTGGGGCGACTTGGATCAAAGGGACACGAGAGATACACCAACACGGACCCGAACCCCCAGAGACTGATGTCCGGTTCGTGTGTCACCTCCACGGCAAGCCAACAACCGAGACCCACATACCTGAAAAGAAAACCCGTTTGTCTTTGATATATTAGCTTGGCCTCCTCCCTTTTCTTTTTGGGCTCACTTTTTCCAAAATACCCAACAACCTTGACCTACTGCGTTCGACACACATACCAGTCATATATGGTCTCCAAACCAGATTTTTCCTCACCTTCAACCCCAAAACCAATACCAACAACAACAGAACTTCACAAGCACAGCTGCCCTTCGGCAAACCAGTGCCCAAGCAGAGGACGAGTCAGCATCAGAACAACCACCACCACAACTATTGAACAAACACCACGATCAACCTACTATAAACCACAGACATCACACACCATGTCTTCACCAGAGGGCTCACCGGCGGGCCGGGTTGGCCAGTCCTACATGCTTGTTCCTAACCTCCACGTTCCAGACCAAACGGTCGACGAGGTAGAGCTTGCAAGCAGCAATGCATGGATGGTAGTCACCGTTATCGAAGACGACGATCTCATGTTTGGCGGCAAGCCTTTGAGCGCATGGTACGAGGAGGATCGCAGACGACTGAGCAGTAACGAGGAGGAAGAGGAAATTCGAGGCCGACAGCGCGACCGTGTCAGGATGGATGCCCATCATCATCAACATCAGCATCATCACCATCATCAACCGCAGCATCATCATCACAACCAGCACCATACCGCCCATCATACACATGTCGCTCATGGCCATCATACCACCAAGAAGACTAGCGACATCAAGCATTAAACAACGTGCTACTTTCGTCGTTCCCTGTCGATATCACTGCGGCGCATAGCTGAGACACCTCGACAATGCCATAGCGGATGTCCCACGGCGCATGCCTGCACAATACATCTTGTGCGACACAGGATCGGCGCACATCACAGTCCATCCAATGGTTTCGAGCCTCAACACAAATTGTACAAGACACTGTCGGTTACACTGCATCGCCGACCTCGGCCCCCCTACACTCGCCTTCACCTAATTCGACACCGAAGGCAGGCAAATATCAAAGATCCTCGACTTATCGTCTTCCTTCTTGTATCCCGACTCAGAATGTACGGGCATACTTTTGGCTATATGATCACGAATAGTGATGGGCCGCATTACACTCGATACCCATAATCCCCCGGTCCTGGCGATCGGTCCCTTACCCGTGACCTTTGACAGGCGCACAAGATGAAGTGCCCTGTTTCGGTGTACGGCACAGTCGTTTCCCTTAATGAGCATTCAACGGTGCATTGCGGGCTTTTCTTTTTTGGTTTGGTGGGTGGGTAATAGTGTCTTTCCTCTGTCTCTCTTTGCTTGTCCACATGATACCACGGGTCTAAAGGGGCACTTTGCATATTTGGAGTGGGTCACAGGAGTTTACGGAGGCTTATTGTCACTTACACTAGAAGCGTTGCAAGTCGGTGTCGAATGGGTTCCCTTTGAATGGACTGAAGGTTCACGGTCGATCTGGGACTGAGATTGTCACCGGCGGCATGTCCGGTCGGGCTGTACTTTCGTATCACTGCTCGTAGAGAGAGGTAGCATTGTCTGGAGCAATTGAACTTGGCATCACAACATTATATGAAGTCTTGATGTCTCTGTCCGTGTTACTACTTTAATGCGCTTCGTCGCTTGAAGTTGCTCATCTGTCATTTTGCACGTGAACACTCGGGCTCGTATGTCGCCCCAACATCAACATGCACGGAACCTTTCCTGAAGAATTCTTGACATTCGGCATTCGCGCAAGTATTCCCATCCTATCGTATTTCATCCTCCAAGGTAGGTGAATGCTTAGTGTTGGACCCTTCCTCTTCCCTTGGATTACCACCCCTGAACATCACCCTGACGGAAACAAAGACCCTGACGGGGACAAAGACCCTGAGGCCGGACCAAGAGATCGCACCCTGCATCCGGCATTTAGCCAAAGGGTCTAGTCTGGATCCCTAGGCAAACAAACATTCCCAAGTGGAATCTCAGACCATCCACGTTTCCCGCAATCCTCGACTGGACCCTTGAAAAGACCACAAGGTAGGGTAGGGTAGCAAGGCTCCCCGCGTACGCGTTAAGTTGGCCCATTGCTTTCCTGTTACTGTTAACGACCAACAACGGAAGCTTTCAGTTGCTTTTCATGATGATATGATTCCAATGGCACCGCCCCGGTGAACCTGCGTGTCTATTTTATGTTTGCGTTAATGAACTACTGAAGCTACAGACGGAACAATATTCTGTCTGGGTTGCTTGACAGGATGGCATCGCTTAAGGACGTCGTCGTGTCGGCCTCACGAAAGTGAAAGTGGAAGAGTGAAGCGAGAAGGGATCCCACCTACATCGGACTGTGGATGTGGACGGCTTTCATCGCGTGCACCATGTGGAAAGTCGATGAGATGAGATGAAACTTACCTTAATGTACCGTCCGTCCCGTCTCAAGCACATGGCAGCGAGCGGGTCAGGCTTCGTTAGGTTTGTTGAGGTCGCCGAGAAGGCTTTACGCCATGTGCATCGTTCGTGTATCGTGTGGTGTGAATCGCGTGGCTACCCTTTGATCTCTCCTTTGTTCTCGGAGTTGTAAAAAGCGCTACATCAGCCTGAGTAGAAAGCCAACGGGGAGTCAAACAAGTGCCAAAGAGCAGCCAAGGGCAGCCACTCGAAGGAGTCATTGTTTGGTTCGGGCCCGAGGATTTATGAAGGTGGTGAAATGTCGGATGTGGGATGTGGAATGTGAGATGTGGGATCACCTATCTGGGATGAAAGGTGGGTTGAGTCTGGGGAAGCATGGGGAAGCATGGGGAAGCATGGGGACGGGACGGGAGTTGTGGGATGTGGCCGGAATCGAGGACGGAGTGAAGTCCGGGGATGGAGGGCGGATGAGTCTCGCCATGTGGGAGTGTGGGTAAGAAAGGGGTAAAGGAAGGGAATGGGGCAAGGCGATGTGTGCCCAATGATGCATAGAATGGACATCCATATAGAGGTAAACACTGTTCTATATTCCTCGTGCCGCGTGGTTTAAGGATCGTCCTGATTTATGGTGGTGACTGAGTGGATTCGGGTTAGGGATATAGCCCATCCTCGACCTTAAGGAGCGCACGCGCAAGAAGCCAACAATGGGTAGTCTTTGAGAACGGGGATATTTGCAGCCTTCTCCCTTGAGATAAATGAGGCAATGCCGGCCAAAACACTCGACGAGCAAAAAGACGAAGTCATCACCAATCCTTAGCGCCGAGAATGATCTGCTGCCGGTGGAGCCACTGATTGTCTCAAAATAAGGTTCGGTTCGCGGCTGCCCTGTTTATGCTTACAGGAACCACGCAGGGCCAGTGGACCGTTTTTAGCGGATCGCCCCCTGAATTTTGGCGTGATCTGGGCCCTCCAGCCACTTCGTGTCAATTCCGATGCAGAAGAACCTGAAAAGCTTTTTCCATCTTTCATCTCATTCGTCTCTTCGGTCGTATTGCGGACGGCAAGTTGACAACGGACCGCGGAATAAGGTGATGATGACGGGTCGAGATCGGTCTCGATGTTTTGTTTGTTTCTTTTGATATCGAATCCTTCCCTTTCTCATACAATCCTTTTCGTGAAACGTTGTTCGAGGCGCTGAAGTGTTACTTGGTAGCCGCACGATTGGTACGAGGTTCCTTCGGCACGCAGCTCCCGAGTATCGAGACTCGAATAGCCCTGGTGCATTCCCGTAACGCAACCGATTGTTCATCGTTTAGTGTAGCTATGGTTACACTTTCCCCTGAGTGAAGGTGCATCGCCACTTCAACCGCCGTCAGGCAGTTTGTTTGGTTTGCCCGGCCAACGATATCTCCCCTATACGACTGTTCATACCAGGCGTCGACACGTTGTTCTTGAACAGCTCCTCTGATTGCTCATGAACAGAGTGGTACTTCGCCTGAACAGTGGCTCGAAGTGGGTACCAAGACCTGCAAGATGTTGACAACGACTGGATATCAACAAGTCGCCGTCGTCTACGTTGCACGGTCGCTTGGATCGCTTAACCAGCATGTCAGGGCGTCGAACCGACCACTTCCTCTCCCTCCAACTCTTCCCAAACCACAATCCAGCACACAGGACCGAGCTCACATATCGAGGCCATCAGCCCAACCGATTACAAAATTGCTTCCTTTGCTTTCATCATCATCAATACTCAACAGTATAATCGTCAAACATCATCACGGACATCGACATCGCTCATCATGAACAGCGACGTCCAGGATCACCATCCTTCTGTGCCACACGAGTCACATGCAGCACCAAGGGGCACAGGTCACCACTTGATCCCCTCACACTCGACCGCCTCAACTGGCAACGACTCCATGTTTCCCTTTAAGCTTGAGCCCACGGACACGACGACGACAACGCCACCCAGCGGCGGCGTCGACAACGACACGGATGATTCCGATCTTCCTGAGCCAAGAGTCCTCCTTGAGAGGATCCCGACCATTCTCCAGCCTTCCATCCCATGGACGAAGAGGCTGATGCACTTTACCTTTGCCTGGTATACCGTCACGTAAGTTCATTGATCCTCTCTTCGCCTTGATGAGTAATCATCTCACTAACATCATCAACAGACTTTCAACTAGTGGTGTTTCTCTGGTCCTGGCCATCACCCCCCATCGCTTCCGCGGTTTGTCAACCATCGGGCTCGTCATCTTTCTCCTGGATCTTTTCTTCTTCCTGGTCATCACCGGCGCAATCACTGTCCGCTTCATCCTCTACAAGTCAACTTTCCAGCGCGCCTTCACCCGGCCCAACGAAGCCCTCTTCGTCCCGACTTTCTTCTTGTCGATTGCCGCCATCCTCTGCAACGTAGCCGAGTATGCTCGCATCTTCATCTTCGACGACGACATCAACTACCGATTCACCGGCAGTCATGCGTCCAACACAACTTCTCACTCGACCCCCTGGCTCGGCAACTCCACGTTCGGCCAGCCCTCCGAACCCGACGACGAAGCAGCCCCCGACGCCTCCTTCAGCTCCTTTCGAACCTTCCTCTGCATTGCCTTCTGGTTCTTCTCCGCTTTGACTTTTCTGGTCTCGGTAATCCAATACCACCTCCTGTTCACCGTTAAAGCCGAGCGCCGCCTCTCTCTCACCACCATCACCCCCGCCTGGGTCCTGCCCATCTTCCCCGTCATGCTGATAGGAACGCTTGCCGGCTCATTTTCCAAGACTCAGGACCCCGAATCAGCAATCGGCATGATCTGCGCCGGCCTAGCCGCCCAGGGACTAGGTCTGCTCGTCAGCTTCTTCTTCTTTTCGAGCTACTTAAGCAGACTAATGGCCTTCGGCCTACCCGCCCAAAGACCGGGTATGTTCATCGCCGTCGGCCCGCCGAGCTTTACTGGCGCTGCGGTTATTAGCATGGCGAGCGACATTCCGCGCATCTTCCAACAGCTTCAGTCCCTCAACACCTCACAGATCACCATCCTCACCGGCATCGGCAACACCGACACTTTGGCAGCGGGCGTGAAGCTAGCCGCGATCTGGCTGGGCGTGTTTCTCTGGGGCTTGGGCTTCTGGTTCTTTGTTAGCGCCGTCGCGGGCATCGTGGCGGGCATGCCGGACAAGAAGTTCCACTTGAGCTGGTGGAGCATCGTGTTCCCGAACGTCGGGTTCACCATCGCCAGCATCAAGATCGGGCAAGGGCTGGGGAGCGAGGGCGTGCTGTGGATGGGAAGCGGACTGACGGTGGCATTGGTTCTGGCGTGGGCGTTTATAGGGTATCGCTGCGTTAGAGCGGTGATGAAGAGGGAGATTGTCTGGCCTGGACATGATGAGGATTCTTGAATGTCAGGGTCTGATTCTGTGAAGGGCTCGGCTTGTAAGAGGTGGACATATGAAGCTGGGAGCTGGGTCTCCTAGCTGGTGTTACGACATAACGAGTTACGACACGACATTACACGGTTTCTAAACATCATTAACGACGACATGGTTGGGACTTGCGACTTGGGCCTTGGTACCAGACAGCGGATATCAGCAGTGGCATAGCACGGAGTTTATCAACGGATATTTGCTTCATCATCATCATCATCATCATCGGCATCAGCATCAGCATCAGCATCAGCATCAGCATCAAAGATTTGGTTGGGTTTAGAGGACTCGCCGAGTCTAAACCGAGTCGGCATGTAAAAGCCGGATGGATGGACAGACAAAAGGCTTCAGATTAAAAACTCGGGACATTGAAGGGAACCAGCGGGAATTGATAGGACAATGAGGGTGTTAATGTACGATGTACGGGAATTGATATAGGAATGGTTCATGTAAATAGTTCTTCATCATATGTAGGGAGAAGCATTGCTATGGTGTATTACGATGTAGTACCTACCAAATCATGTCTTTTCTCGACAAGCAAGCACAGTACCATAATCGGCATTGTGAATCCTGGATGGGCCGTTGATCATGTGAACCTAAGTGAAAAATGAAAGGCTCATGTGATTCTACGACAACGACGAAAGAAAAAAAAAGAATCAAGAGAAAAGAAGCAGAAAAAAAGGAACATGAGTTATTGTAAACAACGAAACGGCAAAAAAACGAAAAAAATCGTGTTTC